TTGTGATAAGCAACTTGCTATTTCATTCAAATTTGCTTTCACCTACAGAGCAAATCTTTCATATTGCACCCTTCCGCTGCAGCACACCAAGAAAGCTACTTCCACCCTCTGCGCCGACATAGCTGCAACATTCCGCAACACAATTCTACCTAGCTGGTCACATATTCTGGGCTCCCATTACTCCACGTCTCTTTTTTTTTCATGTTGCCTTCTTGGAGAGAATTTAAGAGCATGAGAAAGCTGTGCTCTGTTGAAAATCTAAGTGTATGAAGGACCCGACAAAAGCATAGTGACAAATTAGAGGTTGTCTCGGCATGGCAGAGTTTACAGTTCTCGTCTAGGCAGTGCAAACAGCCACAAGTTCTTTCCCATGTCCTACCTGGGATATGCAGTTACCCAAAGAAGAAAAGGGATAATTTCCTTAAGTTGAGGAGAGGAGAATATTTTGTGCTAATGGTAGCAAGTTGTTTCATAAAATATAGATTATCTCTGTTCCCATACAGTATATTCTCTTCTTTATAAAATGTCCCTGCAGCATCAGAATCCCTCTCCATACTTTTTCCCATAACGCTCCAATCCCTGCTTGTATTATTGGCAACACAAGCAACGCTGCGCAATTCACTGATAATTTGTGGGCTTTTTAATTAAATGCCCCACTTCCAAACCCAAAACACACACACACACAATGCCCCCCCACACACACACACTATCGTCTTGGTGATTCAGTCAGGACAGATTCACAGAATTGCTTACTCTGTGCAAGTGAGAAAAGTTTGGTGTTAATAGGCCACATAAAATCTTTCATATCTCTGCCTCAGAAAACACATGGTCCATGATAGAGATTAAGAATTACAGAGAAATGGGATTCTGCGGAAAAATGGCACAGAACTAGAAAAACTACCCACCTCCATTTTAATTTCAATATCCAGTGTATACAGACAATAGGTTCTTTCCCTCATTTTTTAAAAAAATAAAGCTACTTCCTGTGTTCAGTATCCTGATCACATGAAAAATAAAGATGAAGGCTGGGGGAAAAGGAACGGGGAAGAAGAAGCAGGAGAGTTTTCCACAAAAATGGCACCGTATCAGGAAGAATCATTTCAGCACAAGAGCCTCACTGAAACACAGCTTTGAGTTTTAAACCAGTTCTCTGGAGAAAAAAAATGCACAATCCCAATAAACCAATGGAACTTCGCTTCTGTGTCCAGCTCAAGAGAGCTGGTTTGAATTTGGTGGTAGGTCAGCCATACTCTGATGAAACATTTCCAGTGGTTCTCACAGTTCAGAGGTGACGTTTAGCAGGCACATTTTTTCTCCTCTGGTTTTGCCGACTCTATTTTTCCCGAGCTTCCTCCTTTGGCTGTGTCGGAAACTTGCGTCATGTCCACACACTGCTCCATACGCTTCATTATCAAGTCCAGAAGCGTGTCCACAGCCTTCTCCACATTCTGTCCACTAGCAGCACTTGTTTGGAAGTACGGTATGCTACAGTGAAAAGGAAAAGGTTTGCTGGAGAGACTTTTGAAAGACAACCGAGACTCAACTCTTTGTAACACACTCAGTCGTGGTTTTAGGGGCAACAAAGGGAACATGACAGACTTCTGGTTTGTTGGGAAACTATTTCCTCAGTGGGCAGAACCCAAACTCTTGTTCTTAGCATGTGGTGGTATGATGATATGAGCACAAAAACGCCACATGAATATACAAAGTGTATCCTGGCATGTTGACTTTGAATTGCGATAACATCAGCACAAACCTTGGCTGAAAAAGTCTGTCAGGTAACTAGAAAGTCTATTTTAAAGAGAAACCTAATTATAGAAAATTTCAGGGACCACAGAACATTCCAGAAAACTTTTTTTTTGAGGTGGATAGTTACAACTATTGCTATTTAGCAGTCCCTGTAAATACTATCTCCCTCCCTTCCTGTCTGTTATAAGCACAACTTAACTTAGCTGTTTCCATACTGAAATCCCTTTTAAATCCAGAATATTGCCTTCCAAATAATTTTTTTTCAGAAGAGAAGATTATCAATTGCTCAAGCACTTCCACCATATGACATCTGGCATGAGCTACCTTCTCCTCAACATCACTGTCCTCCTTAACTGGCTGCAGAAAACTCTTTAATATTCTTTTATTATGTCTATTTTGCTCATTAGTCCTCACAGTCTCTCAGGCCCCCTTCTGCTGCCGGTCCAGTTCTCTCTGAACGCCCCTCATTATGCAATAAGAGCAATAAAGGGGCAAAAAGAACATGTTGGGGTTTTTTCCACAGCACTATTTACTAATTCTAGTAACTATCAGCCAATTTATCCAGTTGCAGGACTCTATGCAGGTGTTTTTAATGCAAAGAAATGTAGAAGGCTCACCAGAATAAGGAAAAGGCCGTTAACAGCTTTATTATCCATCAAGGAAGAACAAAGGAATTCAGTGCCACCGCACACCTAGAACCTGCCTTTGGTCTACCCTGTCCTGAACCCTCAGGACAAGCCAGCATCCCAAAAATGTTGTTTTCTAGTAAGAATGTTTCATTTCAGCTTTATTTCCTATGTTGTGATATTTTGGCCATACTAGAACAGTGTGTTTCATTTTATTTATTTCAGATTCAGATAGGTTAATCAGAGTTGGATATCACTGTAGGTGTACACGATGCCTACAAATCTTAGAATTTCTAAGTATATGTGCAAGTATCTCTAGCCAGTCACCAGCTAATCTTAGAACAATTCTAGACATAATTTAGCTTCTTGCATAATTGCTTACCCATATTTGTCTGCCATATCTTTAGCTTGCCTTTCATTTACCTCCCTTTGGTCTGATAAATCATCTATATTACCAATTACGACTACATCTGGATTCTCACAATATGCATTGGCTTGCAGCTGACCTAGAAGCAAAAATAAACAGGAGTTAAAAGAATGTTGGAAATGCCTCAGAGATCAAGATTGTTGAAAAAATAATTCAAAATAGCTTTCTTGCTCCCTACCTCAAAATACCCTAGACTAACCAGCCAAACACTTCATGCCAAACACATTTCCTTGTCATACGTTTACTTGCTAAGGGGAATTTTTCAAAAAAGGGAGTAAAAATGGTACTAGAAAATTACTCTGGTATTTATTATACCAACATACAACAAGACTTAACTGCAATGAGGTGCACTAAACACAGTGCTTTAGCAGAGAGGAACCTCCATCAGACAGAACTTTTACTTACAAGACTCGTAAGGACATTGTGGAAGTATAAACAACACCTGACTTCAGCTGCAAATGCAGTGCTTCAGACGTTTAGGACAAAATCCTCAATTGTGTTTTTCCTTTTGGATATACTCAATGGTTTAAATGCAGTTTTATCCATTTGGAGATCCAGACACAAGTACTTTCCACAGCCTCACCCCTCATGAGTAATTGTACAAAGCCATTTACTTACAATTGCCTCAATCCTGAGGGGACTGACATGAAAAGATGCAGTACATGCAGCAGAAATCAGACTCGGCTTGGTAAGCAGTGGAAGATCATAGAATCATAGAATGGTTTGGGTTGGAAAGGACGTTAAAGATCACCTAGTTCCAACCCCCCTGCCATGGGCAGGGACACCTTCCACTAGACCAGGTGGTCGCTCAAAGCAACATACAGCTTCGCCTTGAAGACATCCAGGGATGG